ACACAATCCCCAATAACTTTCAATGGGACTTGAAGTCCCCAATTTATTTTCTCTCTACTTTGTGTTCACCTAGTGTGCTAAATATAAATATTTAATAAGTTACATGGTGGTAAGACCTGCACAGTAACAAGAAACTATATCAAGGGACAAAACAATGCTAAACATGTATTTAAAGGTTTCAGTGAAATAGGGCCCAAATTTGGGTCTCATTAGGTGGCTTTAGATATGGATCTTTTGCAGAGCCACACTTCAGAAATACATAGCTGCTATCTAGCCTCATATCCAAGGTAAGGAATTTGCACTAATTCATAGACTCTTGCTCTGGCTTTAAATACATCAAATACATGAGATGTACTCTTTAGTCACTTTCCTAATTGCAAGTAATTGAATCAGTTCTCCAAATGGCAGTGTCCCCTTGGAATCCCATAGGAATTGCACAGATCACCTGTCTGGTCACCATTTTCTTGCTCTGGTGTCAAGTTTCCAACAGGTGACTACATACCAGCTTTCTTCTGGCTGTGTGGTCTCATGCAACGGATTCAATTTCAAATATAATGGGATAACTGGTCTTCCTTTCATAGAGACTAAAAATAATTATGTCCAGTATTCAGGGAGCAGGCCCATGGCCATATACATAAGGCACATTTGTAGTGTGGCCTAGGCTTCCTCTACTCTTAAGTATTTCCCCCTGCAGAGTCATTTCCAAGTCTAGAGGCAGCTGTTGAATTTCAGGCAATATTTCATTATTTAGTTTCAAAATCTGTACTCCTGCTTTTCTTGGGGACTAACACTTATTACATAACAGTTATTTCAAAATAGTGTTAGTGTGGATGCTCCGTTACGGCTATTCCAAAATAACTACTTCCTAGGGTCATTTGAAGTAATTACATCCCAGTGCTTTCTGGAGCTCTAAGTTGAGGTAGCACATCCACAATAACTGAACCTGCCTCAGACTAATTTCGAGGCTCCCCCGTAGTGGAGACATGCTATTTTGAATTTTATTTCAGGAGCTATTTTGAATTTAGTTATTTTGAAATAATTTCCTAGTGTAGACATGCCCTCTTATGGTACGCCTGCACAGCAGCATTATTTAGTAACAAAAAGTGTCTACACTACAAGTCTTTATTTAGAAATAATGGCAAACTGGAGGACTTCTTACTCCAACTCCTGTAGTCCTCATTTCACGAGGAATAGAGGAAGTTGAAGAAAGTGTTCTTCCTTCGATTTCCTTCTGGTAAATATGCCAAAAGCTGAAAAACTATTTTGACTTCAGCTATTCCAATTGTATAGCTTAAATTGCACAGCTTAATTCGACTTTAACATTAAGGCTATGTCTAGACTGCAAGCCTCTTTCGAAAGAGGCTCTTTCAAAAGAGAGCGTCTAGACTGCACGCGGAACTTTCAAAAGAGCAAGCCGCTTTTTCGAAAGAAAGCACCCAGTGAGTCTGGATGCTCTCTTTCGAAGAAGCCCTATTTACATTCAAGAACGCCTTCTTTCGAAAGAAGCACTTTCGAAAGAAGGCGTTCTTCCTCGTGAAATGAGGTTTACCGCCGTCGAAAGAAAAGCCGTGTTCTTTCGATTTAATTTCGAAAGAACGCGGCTGCAGTCTAGACGCAGGTGAAGTTTTTTCGGAAAAAGGCTACTTTTCCCGAAAAAAACCCTGAGTCTGGACACAGCCTAAGAGTGCCTCTATGTAGAAGGGCTAAACACCCATCTGCTTTTAGCTCAGATGCTAACAAGGATTACCACCGACTCACTCTCCAGTTGTAGCACGTATCCTGACTTGTAGTTTAAAACAAAACAAAACATAGCTGTATTGTAGGTCAGATTCAGCCCTCAGTGACAGACGTATGCAACTATTACTGGGCCCAATCCTGCTCGTAGAAAAAAATCCAGGCCCCAAGGCCTAGTGCAGCACTATCCTTCCTTACATTCTTCGAACCCTGTGTTTTACTGTATTTGTACTTCTTTATGTAGAGTGCCAAGGACAACTGGAATCCTCATGAGGAGGTTTGTTAGAGCGATTACTGAATGGCTACGTCTAGACTGGCACGATTTTCCGGAAATGCTTTTAATGGAAAAGTTTTCAGTTAAAAGCATTTTCAGAAAAGCGCATCTAGATTGGCAGGACGCTTTCCCGCAAAAGCACTTTTGCAGAAAAGCGTCCGTGGCCAGTCTAGACGCGCTTTTCCACAAAAATGCCCCGATCGCCATATTCGTGATCGGGGCTTTTTTGCAGAAAACAAATCTCTGCTGTCTACACTGGCCTCTTTTGCACAAAAGTTTTTCGGAAAAAGACTTTTGCCCGAACGGGAGCAGCATAGTATTTCCGCAAAAGCACTGACAATCTTCCATGAGATCGTCAGTGCTTTTGCGGAAATTCAAGCGGCCAGTAGAGACAGCTGGCAAGTTTCCGCAAAAGCAGACGATTTTGCGGAAAAACTTGCCAGTCTAGACACAGCCAACATATTTAGTTACAGAAAACACTTGATACATATAAACTTATTCAACAGAGCATGCTAGTATAGGTAGACTCAATCCATTTGTGCAAGACAAATAACTCTTTCAAAGCCAGGCACTGGACACCAGAAACAAGTACATTAGCCTTATTTATAAATGTTTTGTAGCAGTGGAGGACATACAAATGTAACAACATTTACTCTAGGGATATAAAGGGCTTATTATTATTATTATGCATAGCCCTCCTAACCTTCACTATTAAACTTTTTGTTCCTGATCTGAACTCTTATTGAAGGGCAGAATACAGATCCCATAAGAACCTCCAGAGTCGAAATCCACAGTGTGAAACATTCATTCAGTTAGCATGCCAAATGTGAAGATTTCATGTAAACTCTCAGAAAGTACAGCACTTATAACTGCAAGGGCATGCATGGGTGTCAACACATTATATATAATCTTCAGATGACTTCATTGCCACCTTTGGAATGAAATTATGGGCCCAATTCTCATTCAGTGGAGTCGTAATTAGACCAATTTAGGATCCACTCCAGGCTGAAAATGCTTTTCTCACCCTCAGACCTAGTATGTGACCAAGGATGGTTTGATTCCCATCTGAAAAACAGAGGCATCTGGATTGTCAAGTGTTTCGTACCTGCTACAGCCACATTGAGAGAGACTACAATTTCCAAAACAAGCAAGAGGAAAAATATAGTTCAAATAAGGAAGAGATTTTGAAAGATATTATAAATCTTTTATTTCAGTTTAGTTACTATGCAATGCCCTTCATTTTGAAGGAAATGGTACAATCAGGAGTCTGTACTTCTCTCTCAAAAAAAGAAGTGATATTAGCACTAACAATTCAACATTTTACTGACAGACTGCTTACAGAAAAAAGCTCATCAAGGGGAAAAAAAATCACTATGCAGTTACAACTGTTATGATTTAATGAAATGTTGCAATGTTAAATAAAAGTTTCAGGTATGTGTAGAGAACTTCTTATTCTACAGCAATGGAAGAGAATTGTCTGAATTACATGTTTGAAGTTACCCTGATTTTGTTTAAATTCATAAATAAAAGTCTATGGTTTTAAAAACAAAAACTATTCACTGATGAAAGTGACATCTGATTTTTTACTGCAGTATAATTTATAAGACTGGTTGATTTAATATTAATAAAGTAGGTTCCTTTAAGAAACTGCATTTGAAACTATGCAATTCCCTACATTTACTTAAATTTTTCACAGCTGATCTTCCATATAAAATTAAAATTCTGCTTTCAAAAATATTTGTTCCCACATGGCTGTAATAATTATGGTTGGTGCAACTAATTGTCAAAAAGCACAGTTGGCAAAGCACCTGACAAACAGAGCTCCTATGCACCAGGGACAAGTCTTTCATAAAGACTAAAAAAAACTTCCACATTTAAAGTTTGCATCTTATTGGGAGAAATGTATTCCAATCTGTTACCTATTTTAATACTGAAACAGAACATTGAAATTAAATCTGAACATAATAAAAAGACACATTGTGTTTCATTAATACAAAATTGTTGTGTATAACTGGAAGTTCAGATTCACTGTCTGTATTCTTTCACCCCCCCCCCCCCCAATAAGAAAATATAGTTTCTGAAATTGCTTGTATTTTTTTTTAAACCAAGCAGCTCATCACTCTGCCTGAACTTCTGAAGAGTTGCTATAATCAATACTTTGCCTTCAAAGAGAATCAGGAATGGATAAGCTGAAGTAGTTCTAAGTTTATTCCGCCCCCCCCCCATACACATACTGGAAGATACCTGTTTACATCAGATTTTTAAAACAAGTTAATCAAGCAATACAGTAAAACTCCGATGGTCCGGCATCTGATGGTCCGGCACTCCTGATGGTCTGGCAACATCAGGAACTGGGAAGTGCTCCGGTCAGCAGGATCATTGGAGCTGCTCTGCCCCCAGCTTCCCAGATTCAGCCGCTGATAAAACTGACCAGCAGCTGACTCCAGGAAGCCCAAGGCAGAGCTGCTCTGCCCTGGCTTCCTGGAATCAGCCCCTGATCAATTTCAGCAACAGCTGACGTGGGTACACTTGGGACAGAGCAGCTGGGGTGCTGCCGCTCCTCAGCGCTACTGGACCAACCTGGCAGCCCCCCAGCTGCTCTGTCCCAGGCGTCCCGATTCAGCTGACTTAGGTACATCCGGGGCAGAGAAGCTGGGATGCTGCCGGGTTGGTCCAGTAGCACCGAGGAGCAGCGCTGTGGATCCAACCTGGCAGCACCCCAAATGCTCTGCCCCAGGCGTCCCAAGAGCAGCTGGGGTGCTGTCGGATTTGTCTCGCTGTGTCAAGGGTCGGCGCTACTGGACCAACATGGCAGCACTCCAGCTGCTCTGCTGCAGGTGTCCCCAATTCAGCCGCTGCTGAAACTGACCAGCAGCGGCTGAATCAGGGACTCCCGGGGCACAGACAAGGGGGGGAGTTATGAGGGGTTTGGGGTGGCATTCCCCCACCCCACCCCAGACCCCTCATAGCCCCCCCCTTCCGATAGTCCGGCATATCTGATAATCCGGCACCCCCTGGGTCCTAAAGGTGCCGGATTATCGGAAGTTTACTGTAGTTGGCGCTTTTATTCAAAGGCCTTTTCCAAGGGTTGGGAGGGGGGGGGAATGATTTGCATCAAAAACATTGTCAGCCTGAGGAAAAAAAAAATACATCTCATCTGCATTTCCTAGCTAGAGTCACATTTACACTTCTTGGACAGTCTGGCCCAACTACTCTGACGCCTGGTTTACACTAAGGGTTGAGTTCGAATTAAGATATGCAACTTCAGCTCCCTTATTTGCATAGCTTAAGTAGAAGTATCTTAACTCTTATTCTGGTCCCATCCACACTGTGGGAAGACAAAGGGAGCATGCTCTCCCTCCGACTTCCTGTACTCCTCATAGAAGCAAGAATATCTGCATCAATGGGCGCGCCCTCTCAATTTGAATTGGCGTGTCTTCACTAGACCTGCTCATTCGAACCCCAGAAGATCGACTGCGGCTATTTTGATCTTATCTGTAGTGTAGACATGGCCTGAGCATATGCATCATGATCCTCTCTAGAGTAGAGTAGTTAGCCCAGTGGCAATGGGATTACCACTGAGAGTAAATTAACATACACAATTAAGCGTCTGTAGGATCAGAAGGCTTTTAAAAAGGAAATCTTAACTTTAGTGTTCAAAATGCAAAGACAAAGCTCTAACATGACCAGACAGACGAGTATGGAAGATATTCTGTGATGCTAAAATTCTGCTTTACAACTAAGTTGCCGGGCAGACTGCTGCCCTCTGCTTAACTCGTGCCATCCATAGATTTCAGGATGCAGTTTTGTTCATTCTCTTTAGAATTATCCTGATTCCCTCCCAAATTAAAATACCCCTCAATGGGATTTTCCCCCCCTGCTTACATCAGCATCATGTCTTCCAATCCCACTGTGGGTCTAAGTGGAGAACAGCAGGCCCTGATTCAGCGGGGAAATCAAGCAGTGATTGATTTCAAGGGAGTCTACCTATGAGCTAAAAGCTACGTGTATGCTTACAGCCCTTGCTAAGTCAGGATTTTAATGCAGCTTAGAAGAAGGCTCAGGCCTGCATTTAAAATGGGACCTGCCAATGAAAAATGGAAGTGGGATTCATTGTTTCCTCACTTTGCTGTAAAACAAAGGCCTGAAAGGCTTGAACAAAAAGGGTCTTCCTGTTTTTTTATTTTAAATGTAAACACTAGAAAGTCCAGTATAGTTTACCCTGGAAGATTCTGTGGCTAATGGAAAATAGTCACAGGAGACTGAAAGCTGAGTAACTACAATACTTCTCCTGCAGTGAACTCCTGGCCTGCTTAAGCCTAGTTTGCAACTATTTAGTAATGTTGCCTAAATTAATTATTGGGAGAAGATATGTCTATGTTAAAGATTCAATAGATATCCTTTAAAGGTATGACTGATCATAATAATACATGTGACCCAGCCCCTTTCCAACACAGTCCTCTAATACACATGAAAAGCAGACTGGACCTAATTGATCTTAGTAAGGTCAAACAGAGACGGCAAAAAGCTTTAACGCAAAACTTTTAGTCATTCTTCACGTATTATGAAGTACCAGGAGAGGGTCTATATCTAAAAAAATCCTCTGCAGGTCACACTTCCATATTTCAGTTATACCCATTCTCTAGCTACATGTTTTAATGCAAAAAATACATATTTATTCTAGGTGCAAAGAGACTACATGAAATGTTCTGAATTTCACAGCATAAGTATCAGGAAGCTCAAGAAACAGTGAAATGTAGATGTTAAGGAATACTTTAGTATGTCTCACTATTTGGGTGAGCTTCTTCATGGAGCTCTGCAACTACATCTGAAGCTTGAGTCACAATATCTCTGTGTGGATTGTACCAAACTGCACTTGGGAGAGTTGCACATAAATAAGTACATGAGACAACAAAATAGTTTCACCTAGATCTTAATGGGCTTTCCTCTCAGTTCTCAGCTTTTGACTTGTTTTTAGAAATATGCCTGAGAAGAAGAAGAGAGGTCTGAGTGTTAGTTCTGATGTTCAGACATAGAAGGAAAACATTTTCACAACCCACACACAGTTTAGTATCTCTTCGATGCAAACATGTCTGACATCTATAACAGTTTCCATCCTGTAGGACGTAGAAACTTCTTTAGATCATTAATGACAAAAATAAATCCATTGAGAAGACATCAGAATAATATGCATAAATTTACTTTCAAAATGTAAGATTCTCATGATGGAATTATTTTTAACTTTCAAAAATATTTGTAAGAAAATATTATTTTACATACATATATTACACAGTGAATAAACTTTGTTCTGTACAAAATTTCAGGGTTAGGAACAATAGCTAAACATTAATTCATGGTCTGGTGACCTTAAGCCTCTTGTATCCTATTCAGGATAGCCAATATACAGAGAAGTTCTCCATTTTGTTTAGTAATACAACAGTTACAACCTTAAATAGTTAATGGTAGCTGAACAGAGAAGTAGCCACACATTAACCTTATTACGGATCAGTTCAGCCATGGATAGTTTTCATGCTCTTTGAGCAACATTGCATGTTTAATGGTCACAGTAACTGGAGTATGTCTCAACTGCATATTGAGGAATGATTTCATAAGTACAAAAGCCTGAGCTACAACATTCTAAAGGAGCTTTATGTTTAACAAATTCTCCGTAGGAGCCAAAAATTCACATCCTAAAATTAAACCATAGAAAGTATAAGGGAATAGGTACAATGCATTTTAAGTGGGTAACCCTGTAAATTGATCCCCCCAGAACTCTTCAGAGCAATTTGTTTCTAATGAGGGGAAAACAAAAACAAAAGAAACCCTACTGTGCATTGTCCACTCAAGAGTCACAACAATGGAAGTCTATTTGGAACCTATTTTTCTTTCATACACATGAAAGCTGCTTCATATAGTGTTAATTACTCCAAGGTTGGTATCTGCTTATTTATGATTGACTGGCTTTTTGCCCTAATATTAAAGAACAGAGATTACAGAGTAGAATTACGCTGCAAGCAGTGAAGTAAACTCCTCTAGGGAAAAGAGAGTCATTTTAATACATTGACTAATTATGCTGCATGTTTACGTTAAAATATTGATTTCCGCTATTTAAATGAACTCTCAGTCAGTCAGGTTAGCTTTGTAGCTATTTTGTTTTAAGGGGAGGAAAGTTTATATGAACAGTCCACAGAAAATCACATGCTGAACAGATTTGGAATCCATCAAGTATGAATTACAGCGCATTGAGATTATAGAAAAAAGGTCCAGTTCTGAAAAGAGTCATTCTGTATAGCAGTGCTGTTTTGGTACATCATATTAGACCTGTAGTACCTTGCCCTCTTCCAAATGCATTAATTGACAGGACTACTCAAGCAACCTTAAAGAGATGGCTCCCACAAGGAGAATGACTATTCCATCTTTCTTTCCCCTAGTGACATTGCTCAGCAGTGTGCCAGGGAAACAACAACAAAACAGAACCGTGAACTTACTCTTCATTAGGGATTTATTTGTAGTGGGTGAACACAGAGAATTTCCCCAGCTTTCAGTAACTTTGCAGTCAAGGAATATATTTCCTTCTTCACTATACTGGTCTTTCTCCTACCTACAATCACTTCCTATTACAGCACTGTCTGCCATGGTGCAAAGATACTGGAAAATGTCTCCTGACTCCTCCCACTAGGAATTTTACCAGTTAGTCACTAGCCCACATATTCCAGGCAATCAGATTCAAGACATGATTTATTCCCCATTATTAAGTGTTTAAGCAAACAAATCAAAGTGCTATTTGTACTATAGCCTTTAAACAAGACTGATGCCTTGCTGATAAGGCTAAAGGCTCTCATCTCTGGTGGGACTTAACCAAAATGCAAGGCCACCCCGTCAAGGTTAACTTATCCCTAGCTCACCCAAACTCATTGAAACACATGAAGAAGCTGCTTGTAGGGCCCAATCCTGCACCACAAAAGTCTATGGGAACTTTACCACTGAAGTCAGTGGTAACAGGGTCAAGCCCCTAACCAATGCTGTGCATTAAGACCTGGTGATAGGGAGAATCTCAAAATGTTTCAGAGCATCACCATGCATAGACACAGCAATCCTGATTATGGAAATCCTCCCTTTGGGTCAATTCCCACCCCCACTATGCCAATTTAGCTCTAAAAAAGGGTCATTGTACATAAAAGGAAGCCACACAGGCAGGCATTCCCCATGCCCACCTGCAAGTTATTTTAATTAAGAACATTGTGCATGTCAAACCCTATTTCACAAAGTTAACTGTGATTTATCCCTTAAATCCTTTGAGGATTGGGGGTTGGGTGGGAAGCCACAAAGATCTGGCACCAGCAGACCAAGGTAAACAGTTTGCTGAAATACAAACAGGAACCACAAGATAACTAGCTGGAGAGGAGGCAAGTGAAGGGGGTGGGGGAAAATGAACTTCCCAGCAATGACAGTCAATCATGCCCTTGAGATATAGGGCTCTATCCTACAAGGGCATCTCCCACTGAAGTCAGTAGAAACTGAAAGCTCTCAGCACCATGTCAGATTACACCTACTCACAGCCAAAGGACTGATGGTTCGGGGAGGAGGGTAATACATGGGGTGGTGGTAACTCCCTGAGTTTTACCCTCCTCAAATAAGTCAGCAATTTACCAAGCACTGAAGGAGTTAAGTGCTAAAGCCCAGACACTTAATCAGCTTTCCCCCTTCCTTTCACATGTGATTGGAATGAAGCTGCACTGAAGCAGCCCAAAGGGCTTATAACAGCTCAATTTCGCAGCCTTCAGTTTTAATCCCCATCACCCAGCCTAAGCAGCATGATGGTACTGATTCTGCTACTCAGCAGCTGTCTGGGCCCCTGGATCCTCCTCTTCTTCCTCCTCCTCTGCAGCTTGCAGATGGCTGGAAAGCTCCTGGATCACAGCAGCCCTACCAATCTGGTCATTCCGCCTCTTCTCCATGATCAGATCCTCCAGGCTCTGGAACTCCAGCGTGTGGCTGCGTTTGTCCCCCAGCCGGATCTGCAACCGGTAGGGCTGCTTGCCTATGCGCAGCTCCCCACCAATTTTAAACTCCCGTTTGCCATAGCGGCACCAGGCAGCAAAGCACTCAGAGTTCCTCCAGCTCAGCTCCCGATCCTTGCAGCCCACCTGCTCCAGGGCATTCCGCACCACCGTGGCTGGGCTCAGGGGCTTGTAACGGTACAAATAACTGGCAATGCGACCTCTCCTGCCCTGGCTGGCATCAGTCAGGAAGCTGTTCACCACCTCCAGCCGATGAAGATGCACTACCTGAAAATCCCCAACATACACTGCCCAGTGTGGATACTGGGCCTGGCACACAAACTCCACCAGGTCACCTGGTTTGCATCTGTTCAGCAAGTTCTCTGGTGTGTAAGTGGTCAGGTGTCCCCCACCTCCTCCATCCCTCTCATCTGTTGGGGTATCATCCCCAGTAAAGCTTTTCTGGTAGATACACTCATCCCGGTAATAAACCGAACACTCCACCTCGTGCAAGCGGGAATCATAGGGCTGTGGTGTGGGGTACTCGCCTCCCGTATTTTGGGCCACCGAGTCCTGCTGCTGCTCCATCTCGTCGTCATCATTGGAAAAGATGTAGGACACCCCGATCCGGGGGCCCTCGTCTCTGTCCATACCCGTGGGGTCAGCCGTGGGAACTTCCTTGTAGCTTAAGTGGGTCAGTTTCTCCACCTGGTTCCCCATGCCCACTGCAAGGACACAAACAACAGGCGGCCATCAGCAAGAGGCCTGCACCAATGGGCCAGCAGAAAAGGAGGAAGGAGACAAAGCTGTGCCACCCTGCCCCAAACTTCACTGCCCTGGCAGGGATCTCAAAGCAGCAGCTGCAGCACACACTTTCCACAGCTGTGGTAGCGCCAGCGCTGGGAGAGCAGACGTGGGGAATATGCACTGGCTCCCTGGGGAGAGGGGAGGTCCTTTTGCTTCCTGCACGGGGGCGCAACGCAAAGGCAGAGCCGGGCGCCCCCCGCTGCACTTCCGCGGGCTCAGCCTCGAGGGGGCGCGAGGCGAAGGGGAGCGCGCGGGGCCCCCGGCCGGCCGTGCGGTCGGGTCTCTGGGCACAGAGACAAAGGCAGGGGAGCGCGTGGCGCGCCTCTCCCCCGGGGAGTGGCGCGAGCAGGAAGCCAGGGCTGGCAAGGGCACGCGCGGCGGGGCAGGGCCACCTGTTCACGGGCGCAGCCCTAGCGCGGGGAGTCGCACTTGCACCTGGTGGCCGAGCGGGAAGGGCGCCAGGCCGGAGCGCAGCAAGGGGGCAGGGAGCGCGGCGCCGGGAGGCGCGAACCCACCTGTTGGCGGCTGCCAGGAGCGGGACGCGCCGGGAAGCGAGGGCAGCGCCCGGCTCTGCAGCCCGCCCAGCGCCCCGCCACTCACCCTGCGCCAAGCGCAGCGCGGCCAGGTGCGCCTGCCCCGTCCCGCTTCCTCCCGCCGGCTCCTCCTCCACCGGGGCGCCCGGAAACTTACCGGGCGGGAAGGGCTCGGCTGCTCCCCGGCGCGGGGCTAGGGCCAGCAGGCTGGGGCTGCAGCCGCCTTGCTCCCAGCGCCGGGCGAAGCGTGGCGCCGGCTCATGTCTCCTTCCCCCTTCGCGCCCCCTGCTCTCACCTGGCCAGCGCCCGGGCCAGCCGCAGGCTGCGCTTCCCTCCGGCCGGGCTGAGCAACAAGCGCTGGAGCCGGAGCAGGGGGAGGGATTCTAGATCCGGCTGTGGACTCCCCGGCGAGAGCTCAGCCCCCAGCATTTAAAGAGACCGCTCGCCTTTTCCTCGCGCCCGGCCCCCGGCAGCTGGGCTCCCCCGGCCGGCCAGTCGTGCGTCCGCCCTGCCCCCAGGCGGGATCCGGTGGCTGGGGCCCGCTGGTGGAGTGGGGAGCACGCTGTGTCTTTAAGGGCGAGGCGCCACCGAAGAGCAGCCTGCCCGCGTGGGGGAAACTCACTGGGATCCGGAGTTTGCCCGGGACAACAAAACTCGCAGCAGCCGGACATTGATTTACCCTCCTCCGTCTTGCCTGTCCCGGTTCAGAGGGAATCCCAGCGCGGCTGGCAGGAGCCCGGGCACCGCAATAAGAAAAGCTCCGGCTGCAGCCCCCCTCCCAGGCTGATCTGTTATTCTTCAGATTAATATTGATCAGCCTTTTACCAGTGGGGTTTAGCTGTAATGGTGATAAATACCTCGTGTTGCAGCGGGCTATAGCTCGCTGCTTGGAAGGGAGCCCCGGCTGTTCCGCAGCTCCGGTTTGTATTCCCAGGGCTGTTTCCACGGGGTGTCAGACCCTTCCGTGTGTGACCACTGGGCTGGTGAAATGCACGGCATCTCTTTGAGGCAGCCCCCAAAAATAACAGTTGTAAAAGAAACAAAAGAGAAAACCTCTGCTCTCCTGGGCTGACCTGATTTGTTAGATGCCACCATAAACAGTGCCTATGTTTTAATATGAATTTTATTTTTTTTTAAACCAGGAGAAGTGTTTCTATTTCAATGCGGGGCATTATTAGTTTTTGCTTCTAGATATAAATGATCACTGCTGGTCGGAATATTCCTTTTAATTCTTCTGGTTGAAGGAGATAATGCAAGCTTCTATTCTGCTTTCTTATTTACTATCTAGGTGTGAGCTTTATTATTTTTAAGACTTGCTAGCAAATCTAATCTCTAAAACAGAACTTTTAGAGGAAGTATTTGGCCCCTGAAAGCAGAGCTTTATTGTCATGCCATTTTCAAACCCAGATATTCAGATCCGGTTTTGAGCATAATCTGAACCAAAATGGCCCTGCATTACTACAGTGATGAGCACGGTATAAGAAACTGAATAGAATAGTTTATTTCAAATAGCCTACATCTCTGATTTCAAATACAGAACTGATATTAGGAAAGGTTAGCTCAAGGGCGGCCAAATAATTTTTTGCTAGGGCCACTTTGGAAATTTTTGAAGTGGCCCTGGGCCACACAGCAAAGGGCGGGACATCAAGCAGAAGGGGCGGGGCCAAGATACTTCTGAGTTCCCCACCCTCAGACAATGATTGGTCTGAGGATGACCGAGTGCCTTTGTTCTCCCCCTTCCCCCACATTCTCCCTAGGTGCCCATGCCCCTGGGTGGGAGGAGACTTCCCGCACTCCCCCTGCCTTCAGGCCAATTAGGGCCTGTGGGCAAAGGAGTGCAGGAAGTCTTCTCTGCTCTGCCTCCACCCTGCGAGTGTAACCCACACACCGAGTGTGGTTACTGAGCAATGCAAGTGGTACCTAGACCACAGCAACAGTAAAGATCAAGACACCTTTACAGCATGGGCTGGGAGCCAGCTGGCTTTTAGCTCAGAGGGTAGAGGCTCCTATACTACGCTTCAGAGGTTGGTGGCGGTTACAAGAGCAGCAGTGCTTCAAAGTGCTAATGTGCTCCTGGCAGGGCGGGTGGAGACTTTCTGAACTCCCCCAACCCCAGACTCTAATTGGCCTGGGGCAGGAGGAGCAGCAGGGCCTCCACGGGCTGGATCCAGCCCGCAGAGGCCCTTTTGCCCACCCTTGGGTTAGCTACTTCTTTAGATCAGCTTGCGCGTGAGATGAGAATTGTGTTCTTCAGAATACCTTTTGGTGTTTTGTGTCTGCGTGTTAGGGAAACACACAAAATCCAGGAAGTTGATGACCATGGATGAGCTCTTTGGGTCTGGGACCATTGGTTTTCTGTTTGTACAGTCCCTACCACAATGTACCCAATCTATGAATGGGACTCAAAAGTGGGATCCTACTAAAAGGATCTCCCTGCTCCAGAGACAAAATATTTTCTCCCATTCTGGTCATGGAACTTATTAGCCTGCTTCCAGCCAGTTGTAACTTAGAGAGCATCTACATCACACTCTTATTTCAAAATAACAATGTGAGCATCTACACAGCCCTTCCATTATTTCAAAATAATTTTGAAATAATGGACGGCTTATTCCAAAATCTGTAAACCTCATTATATGAGGAATAATGCCTATTCCGAAATAGCCTATTTCAAAATAAGGCATGTGTAGACACTCCACTGCTGCTATTTCGAAATAGCCCCTCAACAGGGCCATTCTAAGTTACTCCTCCCCAGCTCTAGATTGAGATAGCATGTTTACATTAGGGAAGCCTGCCTCGGACTAATTTTGAGGCTTCCTTGCAGTGTAGATGTGCTATATCAGAATAACTATCCTGGAATAACTTAATTCAAAATAAGCGTGCAGTGTAGACGTACCGTTACTTAACTACCACTTACCTAAAATTCATTGTTGGTCCCAAGGGGTTGGCAGTACCATTTTTAAGGGCCATATGTCAACTGGGATCAGGGTTTATTATCTGAATCAATTTCAAATTGGGTGATTGCTCTGCTGTAGATGTACTGTTCTCCAGCTCTGCTCTCATCTCCTCCTTCCTGGCTTAACAACTCCCCCCAAAACTGGTTAATTTCCTTCAGCCTTCAACACCTTACCAGCTGGTTTTTTTCGTTTGATCCTTTTGCTGTGACACTGTTTCCTTTCTAAGCATAGGCCTAGAATCCCCAGTCATTGCTGCATCTGCTTCTTTTATAGAAGGACAGAGAATCCTAGATGGATTGTAAAAAAATACTGATACGGGACCATTGTTACTCTAGTAAAGGCATCCCCTGTGGGTTACAGAACTGTCACAAGATGAAAGTGCATTGATAGTAGAGCATGATTTGTGTTACTGACATCAGGTGTATATGGTGCTTCAGCAACAAACATAGAAGACAAGAGTGAGATCCTCAAAGACATTTAGGTGTCTAACTCCCACTGATTTCAGTGCGGGTTGAGCTCCCAAAAACCTCTGAGGATCTTAACCTAGGTGCCCTCTTTCTCAACAGGCTTACAATCTGATTCAGAGCACTAACCTAGCTAGTGAAGACATCAGATCATGAAGGAAGTGGAGGGTATTGCATTTGAGAAATAATTGATGTAAGTATGATTACACTTGGCTTCAGTAAATTTCTGACATCTCATTAGAGGGTGGAGGGTTCGAGGAAGATTGATAGACTAGGTGGAAAGAAAAGCGGGTTCAGAACATGTTTGGAATAAAGCTTGGGTTATTGAGTTAAGGTGATAGGGAGAAGATCAAAAGGAACTGGAAGGACTCTGTTTAGACACATACCAGTCATTGAATAGGTTTCCTTGTGATGATGTACATGTAGGAGAGGCTTTTCCCCTTCAAATAACACAGGATATTATTTTCTGAACATCTGGAGTCTATTAAATACACATTCTCATTAAAACAAGTACTACGTTTATATGTATTAATACCTGTTTTCTCGTATACTAAAAAGTGTCCTGGTCTGTATGCTTTTATAGTATTTTTTTTCCATTGTGTTTTCATTTTATATCTTTTACCTTATTTTGTTCCTAATGAAATAATTAATTTCTCTTTGAATGGCTGTAGGACACAATTCTGGCCAAAATATTTATCTGTGGATTTAGAAGGCATTAAAGTAGCCAAAAGTGAACACCGAAAATCAATTAAAACTAACCCCCCAGAAACTGAAAACCAAAATCCCTAATTACTTGTAATAATTAGGATTTCATCATAGATCTCAAAGTACTTTACAAAAAAGGGTAACTTTCACTGTCTCCATTTTATAGGTTGAGATCCTGAGGTGCAACTTTTCTGTCTATCAGCCTAGTGCATTGCTCACAGCTTTGCTGCTGGGCATGAACAGTTTGCCATCTTCAACATTACACATACATTTTCTGCAGTTCTTTTAACTTAGAAAATAAAACATTTTGATGCTGGTTTGGATCTAGATTTAAAGTTCGGAACATGGTGTATGTATGAGAAGAGGTTTTGTTGCATTGTTCTTCATGATTCCAAGGAGCAAGGCCAGATCCTCAAAGGTAGGTTCTGAACTAACTGTTAGGTGTTATATACCTTTTAGGATCTGGGCCAGTTCTCCCCAACAGGAGCTACTTCTGAATGTTTATGGTACAATCTCATCTAAAAATATATGGGCTTTGTCTACACTGCAGGGTTTTTGCACAAGAAGCCTTTTGCGGAAAAGTTCTTGCACAAAACTTCTTGTGCAAAAGTGCATCCAGACCTCAAAGCACATTGCAAAAGCGATTTGCTTTTGCGCAAGAGAGCATCCACACTGCATGGACACTCGTATCTAAGAAATGACCATCCGAGCATCTGTGCTTTTTCCGATAGGGATTTCTTGCACAAAAACCTCTCGGGAGCATCCACACCTGCCTTTTTGTGCAAGAGCTGTAGCGCAAAAAGGAGTTCTTCCTCATGGGGAGAGGAATAACTCTACTGGCAAGGGCCCTCTGTTTTGTCAATTTTCTTGTGCAAAAATGCACTTGAGGTGTGGATGCTCTGTCGGTTTTTGCGCAAAAACCTTGGGCTGTGTCTACACTGGGCCACTTATTCCGGAAAAGCAGCTGCTTTTCCAGAATAACTTGCCAGCTGTCTACACTGGCCGCTTGCTTTTCCGGAAAAGCAATGACGATCTACTGTAAAATTGTCAGTGCTTTTCCGGAAAAACTATGCTGCTCCCGTTCGGGCAAAAGTCCTTTTCCGGAAAAACTGTTCCAGAAAAGGGCCAGTGAAGACAGCACAGTAGTCTTTTCCGCAAAAAAGCCCCGATCGTGAAAATGACGATCGGGGCTTTTTTGTGGAAAAGCGTGTCTACATTGGCCACAGACGGTTTTCCGGAAAAGCATCCTGCCAATGTAGACGTGCTTTTTCCAGAAATACTTATAACGGAAAACTGTTCCGTTTTAAGCATTTCCGGAAAAGGGTGCCAGTGTAGACATAGCCTTGCAGTGTAGACATAGCCTTGGGTGAAATCCTGGCTCCACTGCAGTCTGTGGCAGGATCACCACTGAGTTCAATGAAGCCAGTACTTTATCCTATGTTTGCAAATAAAGTCTTCTTTCAGCGCTGCGGCTTATTTTTCTTGCTGAAACCAAGCACAACATTGGCTTACATATCTCAGATGTCCTTTAATGACACTAGGTAGGTAGATTCTGTTGGTGGGAGAAACAAGCTATTGAGCCACACAGAGCTCTTCTCCCCTGGCTCTAATAACCCAATAACCAAATAGGTCTTTCTCATTTCTGATTTTAACAGCATCACAAAGCAAAGGACAGCATCACCTGTCTGAAGTCTGCAGGTGACATTAGTCAATTCCTTTACGTTGGCCAGTGTGCAGCTGTATCACTTGAATAGTCTTTGGACCAGAGTTTTAAAGGTATTGTTATGCTGCAGCTTTGGTGAACTCCATGGAAGCTGGGAGACATAATAGCCAGTCTTCATTTAGAATATGTGTGAAAAGCAATTAAACTCCTTTATAGACTAGATAGCTGAAAGAGCAGGAGCCACCACCCAAAGCATACAGCAAGTGCTAGGCTGGAGCAGGAGTTGAGCCATGCCACCTGAAGATTTTCCCTGGGGTCTGAGTGCAAATGCAGTGATGTGGGGATTGTTTGATGGAGCTGTGTGTGACAGTAAGAGAAGGTTCAGAAGCGCCATAGAAGCAGAGAAAGAGCCTCTAGACACAGCCAAAGAAGCATTTGTAGGGTAATCCTGCGAAAAAGCCGATGTGCATGTCCACTGGCAGAATTGAAGGTACCTATGGACTTAATTGGTGGAAATGTAAGTGCCTGTTGGGGTAGGTAGCAACTGAGTAGGGTTTTGAGGAACTACATTTTGGGCGTAGGTAGCTATCATGGGAGTTAGGTGCCTAAATCTCTTTGGTCTAGCCATGGACACTTATCTGAGTATTTTGGAGCCTTACTACCTTTAAAAATCTGGCCCTTTGTGCTTCACTCAGGACAGCTAAACCACCATGCTGTTGCCAGGAAGATCTGAAAGGGAAAGGCAGTACAGATCATCTCTGTTAAAAACAGTCCAAATGGGGCCTCTAATTGCCACGTCTATCACATCAGTGAACATCGTTTTTTTCCCCTGAAAGTCTTTCTGGAAGCTTAAGACTCTGCTAACTACTTTTGACATTGTAATTTGTGACTACATGTGATCTGTGGGGGCTGAGATTGCCAAAGCCACAACGTTTATGACTAAAGCATCCAAGCTGTACCTCAGCAGCTTCGCTGGAGGTTTTTTTTAATCATCTCACTGCCACAAATGCAAACAAAGTCATTCAAATACAGTGTGTAGCAGAGATCGGGACACTTGAGAATGTGGGCTCCCACCTTAGGGGGTAATCCTACCATAATAGCCTGGCATAGTGATGGTGAGATATCAGTGCTATCTAGCAACTGCAGGGGATTCAATATACCAGTCAAAACACCATAGCACCCAGCCTAGGAGGCCCCAAACAGAAAATATTCAGCAAAGGGAATGAGCCGTCTCGACTCTCATTTCCTTTTTGCTAATTAAACATGAAATATTAAAGCAATTAAATATTAACTAAACTTTAGCTTATTAATGAATCCTTACAACATGTTTGGGAGGTAAGTTAGCCTGAATTATTATCTTCATTTTGAATATGGGGAAACTGAGGTATGGAGTGGTAAAGTGACTTGCCTGGGGACTGAGAGGATGTCAGTGGCAGAGCTAGGAATAGACTGTAGCTCCTGACTCTTCATCTTGTACTCTAAGCACTTGGACAAGACCTCTCCTTTTACAGGCAAGGATTTTAAAGTGGTTTGCAAGCAGTAATTTTACCTTAAGTATGCTCCAGAGAGATATCAGCAGTGCTTTTTTGTGACAGTACTGTCTGGTATGCAGTACTGGCACCAACAGTCAGAGCTTACTTGGAAAAAACGGAGCGTACCGGCATCTCTGTAATGAAAATGGCCATCTTAAAGGGGCTGTGTCTCTTGAAAGGGCAATCCCTTTCCCCCCTTGTTTTTTGCTCAACAACTTTTCCCCTGGAGTACTGGCATTTTTTTTAATAAAAAAAGCACTGGGTATCAGTATATATATACTTTACAACTGGCTAAACTAAGGCTGAGTGTGTCGATCAGCAAGGCAGTAGCATCGAGCAGGGAGTACCCAATTACTGCTCTAAGCATTAGACCAGGGGTTTTTGTGGGTCATGGCTTGTAAGGATAAGGTGCTAGCTGGCCATGAGACACTTTGTTTACCTGAGCATCTGCTCATAGCTCCCAGTGGCTGTGGTTTGCCATTCCTGGCCAATGGGAGCTGCAGGAAGTGCTGCTCCCATTGGTCAGGAACAGCCTATTGCAGCTGTTGGGAACTGCGAGCGGCCATGCCTGTGGACGCTCAGGTAAACAAAGCATCTTGCGGCCAGCTAGCAGCTTACCCATCTACGCTGTGACTCAAAGTTTGAAGAACCCTGTACTAGACTAGTTCTCCTTTACACAGCTCAACTTTTTGTCAGACGTCACTGCAGTACTAACTACAGTAAAAATTGCACTGCAACATTACACCTTGACAGAAAAAAGACACATCAACTCTTCTCCCCCTATCTTCATGTGCTATTTTTGGTCAATGGGAATCCATTGTAAGCATCCATCAATGAGAACCAGCAAGGAAGATGAACAAGGGAGGAGCTGGACAACTCCTGCACTTAGTAATTGCCTTCCTGATGAAGGGTGTGGTCCAAAAACCCAATGAAGCCAATAGAAAAAAATCTCATTGTCTTCTGCATGTTTTGAATCAAGCCCTGAAGCAGCATGTGTGTGGTAAGTCATGTTAATGTGTGCTGTTACTTCCAGCCCTTCATGCCTTAAGCAAATGTCTCTCTCCAATGACTAAGCAGCTACTACATCGGAATGGAGAGAAGACCCAGAGAGATCAAGTCCCGATCAAGGCTCATATGTCCCCAAAAGGCAGGATTCTTTTGATATCACGAGAAAAAGAATCAAGAGAAGTCATGGTCCAATGGTTTAAGGCATCAGGCTGGGGCTTTGAGTTCATTTCCTTTCTCTGTCACAGACTTCCTGGGCAAGTCACTTAGGCCTAGAGCTCTCAAAGTTGGATAAGCACCTGACTCTCAAGGGCCTTAGTCTCTGAGGGCTAGGTCCACAAAGGTACTTAGGTGCTTTATGGCCTATTTAAGTGCCTAAATCCACCTTATGGCACTGCTGGCATGCTCAGAACCACTGCCCAGCCAAGTAGGCACCTAGTCCCCACGTCACCTGGCTTTCCGCTGGTGGTCTAGCACAAAGCTGACTCAGCCCTCATGCCTTCATACAGGAAGCTCCCACTCACACTGCAGCAGAATTTCCAAAGGAAGCATTCCTTATCTAACTCCCCAGCAAAACCAGACCTGGTGAGCATTCTCAGGGTATGTTTACATTACAAAGTTAGTTCGAACTAACGGACGTTAGTTCAAACTAACTTTCATAGGCGCTACACTAGCGCTCCGTTAGTTCGAACTTAATTCGAACTAACGGAGCGCTTAGTTCGAACTAGGTAATCCTCATTCCACGAGGATTAAGCCTAGTTCGAACTTACTAGTTCGAATTAAGGGCTGTGTAGCCCCTTAATTCGAACTAGTGGGAGGCTAGCCCTCCCCAGGTTTCCCTGGTGGCCACTCTGGCCAACACCAGGGAAACTCGTCTGCCCCCCTCCCGGCCCCGGACCCCTTAAAGGGGCACGGGCTGGCTACGGTGTCCGTGCCAGGTGCAAGCCTGCCAGAACCCAGCCAGCAGACCCTGCACCTGGCACGGATTGAGCCACCCACCCGATGCCCCCCAGCCCTCCCCCTCTTCCCGGGACCAGGCTGGCGGCTCCCGGGAGCTTGCCCGGGACCACAAGAGGCAGGCCCCCGCCTGGGCTAGTGCGGACATCGTGGACCTTGTCCACGACCTCCGCACTAGGCACAGGAAAGTGGCCAGCTAGGGCAGGAGAGCTGCCAGCCTGGCCACCCAGGAGCAGGTGTGCATGAAAATCAAGGGGGGCCACTGAGACCCCCGACCCTGAGCTTACAATGGCCGTCCTGGGTCAGACCAAAAGTCCATCTAGCCCAGTAGCCTGTCTGCCTACAGCGGCCAACCCTAGGGATCCTGGAGGGGATGGACCGAAGACA